TATTGGTCGGGAAACCTGAAGGGAAGAGACCGCTGGGGAGACCTAGACGTAGATGGGAGATAATCTCAGGCGGAATCTATGGAAGATAGGAGTTGAAGGAGACTGGATCTTGTTGGCCTAGGACAGGGTCCGGTGGAGGACTTTGGTTAATTCGGTGATGAACCTTCGGGTTCCGTAAGCAATCTAGATACATAGATAGTTGAGAGATAATCATAAGTAGAGATACTACAATGAAATGAGGTGTGAACTGTTTCATTTAATTGACAGTGTACTGAAAAAATACTCTCCGTAATTTGTAGTATTCGCCGAATGTTTCTAAAATGATGACGTGCAGGCGATAGGTGGAACACAACACGTGTGGAAAAATGAGAAATATAAACAGAATAATTGTCGACCACTTGAGAGACATAAATATAGATGGAAGAATAATATTGAAACGAAACTTGGAGAAATATATTGCGGAACTTGATTTAAATGGTTCAGGATCCCACATAGGATTTTGCGAGCACGGCGCTGAACCTTTGGATTCCATACAGACCGGGCATTTCCTTACTACATTATTACAGTTGCACAAGAAATGCAAATGTAATGCTTCTTCCGCTATGATTTGAGCGTTAGAGTCTTGTTTGTGAATGATGGGTGTAATTACGGAGATAGGGTTGAAAATTCAATTAGAAGACGCTTCATACTGCATAAACTATCTATTATGATTTGCCGTAGAGACATGCCTACAACGAGACACGTTGCTTTGATTATGAAATGCATCTGAAAATGGAGACGGGAACACCATTACTTGGAAGCTGCATTGTATGAAAGTCACGTTACAAAGTAATGTCTGTCTGTCCGTCCATGTGGTGTAATGCCTGTATAAAATATGGTAACCAAAGCACTGGATTCTGGTTTTCATTTTGAATACCGTATGCCAGCAACGAGTTATGTCACTGGCTTCCGTGATTTAATCAAGTCTTTCCAGCCCAATTCACGGAACATGTTTACGCGTCTGGCCTTTATTCGAAACTTATCCTGTTCGGACCTCGATGGAGCACATGTTATCCTGGATGAATTTTTCGCGGTATTCTCTCGAGTCCTTGCAGACGAAGGCTGGAATTTTACGTCTCCTCAGTACTTTACAGTTCATGGTACAATTATATCTCATTCAGTCTATACAGCGTCATCAAATAACCTATGATCCAAGCTGATGCCGCGAAGTTATAAAACAAGGACGTTACCGGTACTTCAGGTAAAACTCAACTATCAGTTTCTTGGATAAATTTGAAGTTCTCGCGGAGACGAGTTCGAAAATGGCTGTCTCGTCAGATTCTTGTTTCGGTCTACTCTGAAAACACAACCATAGGGTTCCACTTCAGCGAGGTAAGTTCTTTAGTGCCTTCTTGGAGGTACCTCGTCATTAAGGGGCATGGGAGAGGCGAAGCTCCTTTTACTGTTCACCGAAGCACTATGAGCACCCCCAGTAACCATTGGATTGGGGGTGAGTGGCAGCGAAGAGGAAGATTTTGCACCTACTTGGAATCGAATCCCGACCATCTAACCCCTGGTCGCTTTACTGACAGCCACTCCGAACAATATTCCATACGCAAAATATATCTGCAGATAGTAAACGAAACACGCAGAGCTACAGTCGATTCTTGGTTTACAGATTGGTTGAATTGTTATTTATGATGCTGTCTCAACGGCAGTAGTTATTTAATGTAAAATAACATGCAATAATTATCATTACTTCAAAATTATATTTGAAGAAGTGAACGTGTTCTAATTAAAAAGCAATTTCGTAAAAATACCTACAAGAAGCTTCAATCAGGATGGCCAAGTGGCGAACGAGATTCAAACCGGGCTCTTCCAGAATACGAATCAGGAGTCTAACTACTGCATCCCTTCGTTCGATCTTCAGGTTTTTGTCTGAGGGCCCGTTTCCTCAGTTTTTCACAAACCCTGGCCATAGCTGTTTACGGTTTTGTGGACCGCGAATTATTTAAGCAACTTCCCACCAGGGTTGATGAACGACTGAAGCATATTTCGACATAATTAACAGGTTTAACAGATGTTTACAGGTAAGGAAGGTTTAAATGACCTTGACTAGACCGCGCTAATTTTTATAATACAGTCGTTAAGTAAACGCCAATCACTACCGCCCGATTCTGTCGTGGCCACTGGTTTGCGTTTGAGGATAAATGCAAAGACAAATAGTAGGGAGTTGTGTTACGTAAGCAGTGACAAGGAGGGTGACGTAATGAAACTTGAGAACTTGGTTTTGCCAACCTATCACTCGATTAAAATCCACTGCGGGGTTCAGTTATCACAAAGTCAGGCCAAAAATAAACCGTGTTTTAAAGTATCGTTTGCCTTGGAGTTAATCGTTTATTGATGTTGACAGAAAAGAATAATCCACCTCCCTTTCCACAGTGGAACAAATCCACTGCGTAGTTGACGGTAGCCACAACTGTCATTTTCTCGAAGTATTCGTTGCCTTGGCAACTAAAGGCATGGCCTTAAGAGTTAATCTTTTATTTGCTGTTGATACAAAAGCGTAGGCAAAACTTTCTTATCTGCAATGATACCAGAAATCGTCTTAGAACACTCATTCGTCCAGATACCATATACAAAGTTCTGTTTAGTTTACTGACAAGATAAAAATTGGCGATGAAGGGTATTTACTGATAATGCAGAAATAACTGAGTCTTCTCTTTTACTGTATGAAGGTATTTACTGATAATGCAGAAATAACTCAGTCCCCTCTTATACTGTATGATATTCTCATTTTTTCCCGTGTGAAAAGAAAAGCCAAGCATGAAATTATTTGAAGACAAAAATGCATGGTATTTGTTATGGTGTCATCCATGACGGGATGGAATTGAAAGAGCATAGAAAATGACATGGCATTTGTGACAAAGACTAGAGGAAAGTAGCAAAAAAAATTGTTTGAACAGTAAGAGGAAAGTATGGATAGGGAAGACCGAGAACTGTGGTGTTGCAAGAAATGAATAAGGCAACGGAAGAATTGAATTAGAAGGAAGGGAGATGTAAGTGGGAACACATAGATGATGATGGTAACATCCCAAGAAAGGGAAATGTATTTTGAGATACTGGGTACCTGTGTAAGTAGCTCATTAGTTATTGTAATGTTATGGACATGGGAAGCCGTGATACCTGAGCCAATAATGACCAGGGGCTGCACGACCAGGATCCATTCCCGGCGGGGCAGCGCAACAGCGTTCACACCGGCTCTGGGGCCATCGCAGCCAAAAATCCTCGAGAGTAAAGCGGCTGAGGCTTGAATCTAACCACTCACCTACACCTACAGTCAAGGTTAAAAATGTGTGGAACTTTACCTCAACTCCCCCATACGTCTGCATAACCATATAATGGAAATGTAAAGACGTTATACATTTTGAGCGGTCATTATGTTACGTTCTATAACATGACTAACAAAATGTGCATTTCTGGAAGTTACTTTTCCCATTTATGATTTCTGAACATTGCGGTTTCGTACTGATTGCGAAGGTAATGACATGGCGTTCATCCGAAGTTTCACGGACACCGTGAAGTGGTTCAGATACTATTAGGAGGGCAGACACGCACGCACGCGCACACACACAAATGCAACCATGAATATACCTTTCCTTGGAAAGGAAAATATGATAAAAACCAGAGGTCAAAGGCGGAGAGACGGAAAGCAATATTAAAATGAATGACAAAAGACACAAACACATTTTCTAAGGCTCGAAATAATATCTGAGAGAGATTAAACACTTTTTTTAATAGCTACTACTATGTTTCAATTTCACAAAGCAGAAACGCGTTCAAGTGAAATTCACATTTGTGTGCGCTTGTGTGAAACTAGAGGAACAAATATATACAGTAAAACCTCTCTAAGTTGGACACTTGGGGTTCCAAGAAAATGTGTCCAACTTACAGAGGTGTCCCAGATAGAGGGAAA